GATGAAGAAGGTAGGCTTGCTATTCAAGAGTTTGAATCGTCATTGATGCAGCTGGAAGATGCAGATGAGGCAAAAATTACAAAAACAGGCAGTGTGAGTGGTCGAAGGGTGTTTGGTGCATCTAAAATGCAGGTTATAGAACCTAAAAATAAGATCAGATCAAGCACTTATTCCAGTGATAGTGAAGCTGAGTTGGAAGCTGAAGAAGACGTTGATGTTCGTTTAGGCAGAACAGATGATGTGCAAAATAGTATTGATGTCAATTCTGTTTTGCTTGATGTAGATGCCAACACTCCTCGGGATTCTGTTTTGAAGGTAATGGATTTTGGTTTCTTCCCAGCCTATACTGAAATTGTATCTCTTTTGCTGAGGCTGCAAACCTGAAAAACATAATTCTTTGCAGATTTCTGAACTTGTTAAAGACCTAGGTCCCAAGACAACATATGAAGTTTCTATGCTTCATTCAGACACATGGAAAAAGGTATTGTTTGCCTTCTTTTTTTAAACTTGTATCTGTTCTTCCATATGGATGGATTGGGTAACCTGAGAATAAACTGCACATAACTAGCAGATGAGCAGCAGTCGAAATGAAGTTGACACCAATGACAGAAGTTCTCTGAAAGTTGTTGAGCCTGTTACCCATAATCGAGATGTAGAATTAGAGGTATGACCTCATCTGCTGTACTCTTTTTTCTTCTTCTTATAATTGGCTGCTGCTTACAATTTTTACTCTTCTCTGGAACCCTGAAGGAAGTAGGGGAGGATAGTGATGCGGACAGTGAAGGACAGATGCTGGATGGGATTTTGTCTTCAGAGCACAAATCATCTTACAAGCTTCCTTCCCAAGCAGAGCTTATACGTGAAGCTTTTGCAGGGGATGATGTGCAAGAAGAATTTAGCAAAGATAAAGAGGAAATTGTGAACGAGGAAAATCCTGAACCTGAAAAACCTGTTCAACTTCCTGGCTGGGGCCAATGGACTCGTGTACAGAAAAAGAAAGGTTTGCCTTCATGGGTTTTGGAAGAGCATGAAAATGCAAAGAGAAAAAGGGATGAGGCTTTGAGGAAAAGGAAGGATGCACATCTTAAACATGTTATCATCTCAGAGAAGTTGGATAAAAAGGTTAGTGATGTTTGTTGTATGATTCACCAGGCATCTTTTTCTACTGTCTCCTGTTGAAAATCACATTGTAATAATGAATATAAAAACCAGTGTCCTTTAAGTTCTGGCTAAGAAGCTTTCAGTTGAAATAGAATATTATTTTGAGATTGTAAGATTGATTAAGTTGAAATGCTACTTGTTTAGGAAAAAAAAATCATCGTTTGTGAGATGCTGTGAAGATGAAAGACTGTTTTCCTGTTCTTGTATCAAAGTGATTGTTTGCTAGCTTGAGCTTGGGTTGCCCTTTTGTGTTGTTTACCTTGTAGGTCCAAAGATTTTGGTATTTGTTGTGGTAGTTAAATAATCTGTAACTCTGTTTGGATTTTGCAGGCAGAAAAATTGCTTACAGGAACACTGCCTTACCCCTTCACATCGAAGGAAGTTTTTGAGCAGAGCATCCGCATGCCTATTGGGCCTGAATTCAATCCTGCAACAGCTGTCAGAGCTCTTAATCGGCCTGAAGTGAGTGATTTTCTCACATTCACATTCCTATATTCTCCTGATTAACTTTGATTGTTCATTTTTGGATGTGGAAGGTCTTTGTATTATGAAAAATTTGACGGGTCTGGCTAAAATGCATTTATATATGTTATGCTTTCTCCATATCTCGTGGATGCTCGAGTATTTTGCCGCAACTATTCTCTAATCCGAAGGCATCCCATGCAGGTGGTGAAAAAACAAGGGCTGATTATTAAACCAGTCAGATATGAAGATGTGGATTCCCATGAAAGAGGGGACGAGCATAGAGAACGTGGACAGAAGCAAAGGATAAATCGGAGCCAAGGCAGAGTAAAGGCAGTAGTGGCAAAGTCATGATGAGGGGAAGAAGACTGACCGCATTTTCAGCTCACGATGCTTTCTATAGGCTAAGATTTTTGCGCTTCCTCCGTCCTGGATTTTGTGTAGAGTTCCTGTATTTGCCAATTTTTGGGATGCATGAAGTTTCGATATTTTTGAATTTGAGGCAGCTCGAGGTGGCCCTTTTTTGGGGCATTAAATTAAGAGATCAGGCAAGTCAGGTTTGACTTGGTAATGTTTGTGACATGAGCCCCGTAATCCGGCAGCGCGTCTATCAACCCTAATAATGCTCGTTGTTTAATATATATATATACAAGGCATATTTTTTTCGTTTATTAATAAAGAAAATAACTCCAGTATTACAAGAATACCTGCTACATCCAATGAAATCGCGTCATATACTAACCTATCTATGTTAATGGTAATGACTATAAAATTACCTCCTTACCAGACATTAAAAAAACAGAAAGGAAAGAAACGTCACACGAGCTGCTACTTTCACTCCTAGGCTACACTGGAGAGAACACCAAATCTCTATCGGCTTTCCCATCTCCGACGATCACCGCTCTTTCAACCTGTCTCCCTCATCCAACCTAGCGAGAGGTGGATGCCTTGTACACCTACATTGTTGGACTGCTCTTTCCTTTACCCTTGCTAATTCGGAAAGATAAAAATTGCAGGGAGAGAGGATAGTCAGTCTTGGGTTTTTACTATAGAAAGCTTGATCGACTTGCCACAAAGCTGTGTTGGATTAGGTCTGCAAATGCTAATAATGAATTGTCGAACAAGGAAGGAAAATTTATGTCGTGAAAGTTGAATAAACTTCGTGCTTTCTCGTTGTTTTTGGCTTACAGCCCTGCACATCTATCGGATGCAATTTTCTTGTGGGTTTTATCTACCAAAGTTGGTTATATGGCAACATCAATTTTCAGGCAGGAAGACCGGGATGTGGAACATGGCTCCTCTAATCTAGAAATGCCAGAAAAAATCAGCATGCTTGTCAGCTGATGATACATCTTCAACAGATTGGCACTTGGGATTTCATATTTTTATGGTATCTCTAAACTCTCTCTTCCTACGTTTATGTTCACCTCTCACAGAACAGTCAATGCTAAAACCATGCTTTTATTGCTTCTGTTCTATCCTATTTGCTTATTAATGAAAATGGTTGGATGATGATAGCAATACTGGCAATGATCAGTTAATGGCTTGATTTCTCTTTCTTGTCTTGCATTCTTCTTTTATCTTTGCATTCCGTCCTGCACTCCTTTTTGAATTTTAATCATTTTTAATCCAAGTTGAGCCTTTATGTGGAAAAATCGTTTTCTTCTCAGACCCACACATGAAACTTTGATGAACTAATTTTCGACTTTGATTCCCGAAGAACTTCTGCTTTTCCTGTTCACACTATGCTCTATTTTTAATTTGGCACCATTGCTTGGAATAAAAGAAAAAGAAAAGGCATGCATGCGTCGATAAGAAGGATTCGAGCTTTCTTCAAGCCACAACAAACAGATTTGTTCTAATCTACCCCTTTGGAATTCATTTTTCTGACACGTTTACTCTTTCAATGAATTTCTGCAGGATATACTTCCTAAGTACGTTCATATGCGTGGTGCTGAATCAATTCTTTTTGCTGGGAAAGCCATCAATCAGGGTTCTCTGGAATCCAAGCCCAGCATTTCAGTTTAAGGATCCTGTATGTAATTAGCGGATACCAGAAGTTTCTCAAAAAAAATCAAGGATCAACAGCACACATCCCCTATCAGAAAGAGTCTTCTGAAGATTCAAACTTGATTAGAGAAGTATTACTTCCACAGTCTGAGGCTGATAAGATTGAAAATATGGTACAAGGCGTAAAAGGTCCACTTCCTCAATTTGTATCATCATAGATTACATCCTGGGCCGCCCTTTTCTTGATAGATAACTATAGTTGGTGACATTAATAGCACTGTATTGTATTTAATTCATTTTGCCAAATTCTTTTATATATGTAGATAGAATAGACCTTTTCCACCTCGTTGAACTATAATCCATAGCAAGGTGTGTATACTGAGTTTCACAAAAGATGATTTGAATGTGCTGTTGACTCTATCCACATGCTATTTCCGCTAGTCATCTTTGGCAGGCAGGCATGCATGCAACCCTTCTGTTTTTTTTTTTTTTTTGGAAGTCTGTAAGAGCACCTGATCCACCTGTCTTCTCTTTACTTTTGAAGCTTGTGGCTATGCACACTGCCTTCAATGGCCATCTGAAGGCACTTCAAGAATATTTCCTTTAATCCTATTAGGTGGTGGTTCTTTGCCAACTGGGTTGATCTTTTTCTTGCTCCTTGCTAACTAACGAGTAACTATCCGTCGGAAGTGAGACAAATTAGCAGCCGGCTTTGTCCGAGATCTGGGTTTGTTTCCGTTCACATAGCTTCCTTACTCGCTTTTGGTGCTTGTGATAGATAGCTCCATCTCGTGCTCATGACCTTGCTCGTCAAGAATTCACTAAGCTGTATTAAGCTTGTACTTTGTAGAGATTGTCCCGTCCATAAATGTCATTGCCAAATTGAGGATTTGTTCGTAAGTGAATGGTTCGCGTCTGCTAAGTGAATTGTGCGGTTTGCAAGACACTGACATGACATATATATGATTGAATTACTTTTGAGGAGTGCTTGACAAATTCGAATACTTTAATGGGAACTTTCCCATCTAAATTGACCAACAAAAACCAATAAATCTTTGGATAAAATATGCTTTTCATATAATCTACAGAACATTCTAGTTTGACCCTCGAAGTCCAAGAATTTTCTATATTCAACCTCTAAATCTAAAAAAATATACCTGAATTTTTATTTAGATCACCGCAAAGTCTTGTGTATTAAAATCAAATGTATTAATTTATATAATTTTCTTGTGTCTGTTCTAAGAGTAATTTTAAATAACCTTGAAGGCATGCCTAATTTTTAATAATGCTCATGAATGAATTTTATTTTGCGCTGTAAATCATGCATGCATGCATACAGGGAAATGAGGGCATCATTTTACCAAAACTGAAATGACAACTGAAATTTATTGAGCTGTTCTTCATTCAATTACACCTAAGACTGCAATAACCAAACACCGGATGCGATCTTCTTCCCGAATCCCAGAAATCAGTGCTCTTTGCTTTTATTCAGTTGCAGGACTATGCAATGCAGCTTCTCCCTTTATCTCTCTCCATCCCAAAATGCTTTCATGTAGTTCGAATCCTCTCTATATACAAAAAGGGAGACGTGCCACTTGGACTGGAGGTCCAAAGAAACTTGGGAACACTTTATTACATAAACCTTCTATTTTGGGTTAACACGTTCTGAAGAACTGCTAAAAAGATAGTGAAGTAGAAGAGCCAAGAGAGAGAGAGAGAGGAAAGGATGTTAATGTAATGCAGTTCTTTGTTTAAATTTAGAGCTCCTCGAACCCTTCTTCATCCCCTTCCTCCTCAACCCTTTGCAATTCTCTCCTCCAAAATTCCATCTGACAGGAAAAAAAATGGCAAATACATCAGATAATGGCATCTGCAATCGTGAAGCTCCTGGCATTTATGATCTAGCCATCAATTTCCCATGATAAAGAATAACACTCATGGTCTGAGAAATATTTAAACAACTCCATGCAATAAGAAACTTTAACAACAGATTAAAGAACTACATATGAAATATTTGAGATCAAATAATTTGACAATTGCTAGCCCTCAAAATACCAAGTCACAGTTACACATGCTTAACATAGATATACCTAAAATTGCAAATAACGGTCATTCTTTGAGAATTTCACATCAACAGATAAAACATTAGGAGAAGACATTTTTTTTATAATTAACCCCCCTCCCTTATCAAGCAACCCACGAATCAAACAGTAAGTGCTTTATTTTCACACCTGATCATCTGAAAATTGCAATTGTTCTGCGACAAATAATATATTCTTGTATTCTCCTGGTGATACTTCCTTTCCTAAACTCTTAGCAACTTCATCATAGCCAATCATGTCCACTCGGAACCCATTGCTCATGAAGAGCCTGTTCATCCATTTCTCTGCACTGGGCTGTGCAAGAGGCCAGACAACAGGATAGGGCCTTGCTTATTGAGAGAAGGTAAAAGAAAGGAAAAGGCAGTTTTGAAGTCTGAATCTAACCTTGACGCCAATTTCAGTTTCTGCCAACCATGCAGGCAGTTCCCCCAAGAACAAGCATCCACTCATGGCCAAACTACTGGCAACCGACAAAATTTCTTTGAAATTTGCCAAAGTCATAACAGGCAGTCCCTGAAAACCCATAAAATAACAGTATTTCCCTCGTTAAGGAAACAAATTACATGCTATAACAACTTCCTCACAAAAAACAAAGCCAAATGGTTTTATGCAACATTGGAATCCTCATAAAAAAAAAATAGAAGCCTCAATCACCTGGACGACCCATATACTAGGCTGATTACCATTAAAGCCTTTAGCACGCAGACTGTGTTGTATATCAGAGGACTCCAAAGGAACATGCAGGAACAAGCAATTTCTTGGAATTTTGGCCCCAACACCTAGCATCTTCAAGAAGATAGTGTCAAGCATTTGTACTGCTTACCTAACTAATTCAAATTTATAAATCCATGTAGAAGAACCACATTTTTAATTTTGACGAGTATAGATTTGCAGATGGAGTTAATGTCAATACTACTTAAACTTCTTATGAAATCCTGAAACATGAAAACCTTTTCACCCAAATGATGTAACCTAATTGTAATATTTAGAATAATCAATTTATCTGTGGATCCACACTCAAAACACAGGCATGGTTAACATGTCAAATCTAATCATCCCTAGCAGCAACTATATGGTCGAGTGATGTATCAAGACCCTGGCATGGTTGTAAATTTATTGAATTAGTGATATACCAATCACCTTGAAGCTTTTCAGCTGACTTTTTAAATATCCTTTCTGAGGATATGTCAAATATTACAGTTGAAGTTGGCCAGTTAAGCCTATATGGCCGAGTGTCCATCCCGTCTGTTAACAAAACAACCTGCAGAGTACAGATGGAAAACAATAAATTACTTCAAAGTGGTGCAAAATGTTCAATGTAACCTGAATTTGGTAGGCAAAGTACCTGCTTGAGTCCATCGATATGGTTCACTGTACGAAGTAACTTATCATCAATGAATTTAGTCGCAAGGCAATACTGGTGTGAGCACTTCTTCAAATCCATCTGTACATCGGGATGAACAAAGCAACCAGCATATGGATCCACGAAAAGAGGCTCTGCAATGCAAGAGTTAATGCAAATTACATTCCAGCCAGCTAAAAGACAAACCTCGTACAGCATCAAAATGCCATGGGAAGATTGAAATGTTAACCTGGAAAAGCAACAAGAAGCTCGGTTTATATTCACTCATCTGGTGAGTGAATGGGACAACCTATGAAGATTAATTCTTTCAGAACAAAGAAAAAATGACAGTAAAGTTTTATCAGACAAAAACACATTTTGAAAGGTTTTAATGTAGCAACTATCAAACAATAAAATGGCAGGCCCAAGTAAGCTATTTTCAAGTGATCGATGTCCTAAAATCTAGTATGTCCAAGGAACAAGTTATTTAATGTTTGGATAGTGGTTAATCAAATATTCATATCATTATTTCCTTCTCCTTAGCCCAGTAAATATAAAATTGATGGTAGAAGTCCCAATACCTGCAAAACAATCTTTATCGGTGGGACTTAAAAGACTCTTCGATAATAAAGTCAGTAATTTTAAGTGGACCAAGCTCATACCCCAAGCTGAACCCAAGAGAGCCAAGCTCTTCTCTGTGCCCAAAGGAGTTCGGCGCTTCCCTTGGCACTTGGGCACTACCAAAGCAAGTGCTCAACTCCCTTGGACACGGCTAAGAAAAGAACCTAGCTCCCTTGGATTCAGCTAAGAGGAAGACTTCAGTCCCTATAGATACAACTAAGAGAAATAGCTCAGCCTCCATGGACTCAACTATATTTTTGTATCCTACTTGCACGACACCTCTAGGTGTATAAAAATGTTCTAAGGACTTGCCTTATTTATTATTTATTAATGCATATTTAACAGATATTTATTATCCTTCATTAAATGTTATCAAGACAAAATGACACTTCAACCCCTTATTTTTATAAAAGAATAAGACTCGTGTGTTATAAATATCCCATGAATCCTTCAAGGTTCAAATTTAATTTTTCTACTCTCCAAACTTCTATATTTGAGTCCTTAGAGCATTAATCATACAAAAATAAGAACAAATATTCTTATTCTCGGACTTTAAAGCTCTTTCTTTCATCTATTACCATTTTCATTTAAAGTTATTGATTTTATCTTTGGAGAATTTTTAAATCCTACCGATTGGGAGTATTTTGCAGGTCTAAAGAGAAGGAGATATTAATGTGAACATATGATTAACCACTATCCATACACCTCATTCCTTAGCATATTAAATTTTGGGACATCATCAGCCAGTAATGCTAATTTAACTATCCACATCAATGCTTAGCCGACAGACCAATACTCATGCCTCAAAGGCACGAATGTTTTCATGTTCTAAGGTTCAAGTTGCCACCCCACCCCTCAATCACAGCAAACAGCAAACCACTAATGTGTGCTGGCTTGGCAGAAAAGGAAAATAAATCATAATGCCAAAAACTGGGGATTAAAATACAGCTTGTAATTCTCCATGTAACAAAAAAGACAGGTACCCAAATCCTGCATTAGACCGGTATCAACATATAACATTGTATGCGTTATATAGTATTAGAAAAAAGACCTTATGAGCTTGTTTGCACAGATTTGACAACATGAAGCCAATATCTCAATTTCTTATCAAACTGTTCGACAAAATGGCCGACAGAAAAAGAGCTCGGCATCAGATAACTAATAAAGAGAAGAGGTTTGCCTGGTCGATGCATTTCCTGGAAACGAAGTGAAGCAGCACTAGTGGCGGCTTGGAGCAATGGGTCATTTTCAGCGTTGAGTTTGGCTCTCAACCAGCTATTTTTCTTTGATTTTGAAGCGTAGAACAGAGAAGGGCTCGCGATAGGAGTAGCCGCTGGTGAACGCACAAAGCCCAACAACCCTTCCATATGTAAGAGAATATTTATTTAGTAGTTTGATGCTCAAAGATTGGATTGCCCAGCAAAAATAAGAGGTTTCACAGTCTACCCTTCATTGCTCCCTGAATGTAAAGAAAGACAACGGGTTAAGGGTAGATTACGTGCCAAGAGCAAGCCAGATGACACGACCCATACAGAATTATTAGATGCCGCGGCGTTTGAGTTTCTAGTTTCTACTGAATATTTTTATTTTTAAAAAATTATTTTTAATATTAATATATATAAACATTTTCCCAAACAGTTTTTCAAATATTTTTAATTAAAAATATATTAAAATAATATTTTTTATTTTTTAAAAAAATATTTTTGATATTAAAAAAATAATGTATTAATATAAAATAATATTAATTTAAAATAAAAAAATTCATTTTTTTTTTTTTATAAAAAACTTTTATAACCTCGCCAAACGACAAACTTGCTACTTCAGGGGAAATGATTGAAAAGCATTCCAAATATCCCGGTTGTAATCCTCACAAGTGAGGCCAAACGGCAGCTATTACGATTTTATTTTTTATTTTTTTAAATTAGAACCTTTTAATTATTATTTTTTTGCAAGATAACACTTTAAAAAAAAAATTGATGAATGATTTGTATATATCTCGGTTGTAAAACATGAAATTGAAGTTTGTTCTTATTTGAAAAGTGATATTTCAAAAATGTTAAGAAATGAATTGCATAAATTATGATAAGTAGAGAAAAAATAAATGAATAAAGTTTTAATTATAATATTATTAGTATTATCCAAAATTCTTGATAAGATAAATAAAAAAATAAAAAAATTATTAATAATGAATAAAACATGTTACATTTACTGTTAAAAATAAATGAACTACCTATTATTTTTAGACAACAAGTATTATTCACTTTAGTCATTATTAGGATACTTTTTTGTGTTGAATTTTTTTTTTTGGAGATTTCAATGGTACAAATAATATTTTAATTGAAGTTTTTGACGTGTCTCATGAATTTTATTTTTATTTTTATTTTTTTTATTTTCTAGTTATAACATGTTTAGTTCATTTTATAAATTTTTTTTATAAAATATCATGTTTTTAAATAATAATAAGTATGAATGTTGCGTTTTCCAATTACGATATATAAAAATCATATTATTTTATTAAATTATTTTTTAAAAATTTATTAATTTACCTTTTTTTGAAAAAAATAGTGTGCTAATGAAAATTTTTCAGTTCCTCGTGTTAACTACTAATTATATGTGCCACTCCAAGTTACAAGAAAGAATTGTGAATGGAATATAAGCTGTTTAATTATTGCCAATCTTATGCAGAATTTGCAGGCAAATTCATATATATACCGAACATAGGTTGCCTTACTTGGTGAATTATTAAATAAATCTAAGTCTGGCATAATCATCAACATCAATGTATTGTGCAACAAATTTAGTTCAATGTTCTGTGATGGATTGACTACGTTTTCCAGAGAATGTGGTGAATTTAGGACATCGAAACCATGAGGAAACGGGTAAGCTTGGTTTGATCCATTCTAGATATGGCTTTTATTTATTGCTAACCATTGTTAAAAGGCAGATCTAGACTTAAGCTATGTTTGTTATTTACTAGTTTTTATATTCACTAGTTTTTATATGTAATAAACAAAAATATATTTTGTATTACGAGATCCATTAAAAATTAAATTTAAAATATAGTTTTTGTGGAGTATTTTTTATATGTTTTTTAACTGAGTTTCATAATACTTTACTTGTTTTTGAATTTTTAAAAAGTTTGAATTTTTTTATTTGCTTCAAATTAATATATTTTTGTGTTTTTAGATTATTTTGATGTGTTGATATCAAAAATAATTTTTAAAAAATAAAAAAAATATTATTTTGATACATTTTCAAATAAAAAAATACTTTAAAAAACAACCGTAAACTATATTTGTTATTCACTAATTTTTCTCATAATTAATTATATTTTTAAATTTTTTTTTTAAATTACAATCATAAAATAAAAGCTACATCAAAATAAGAAGACGCTATTTATTTTCCTACAGAAGCTGGTTCCTCAACCTATAAAGAATAAAAATCTTGTCAGCAGTTCCCATGTTGTTGAGTGAACCCTAGTGGTTCCTTGTTTTAGTTTGCAAATAACATAATTTCTTGATTAGGAATAAACTCATTGGATAGAGAGCAACCTAGTGATCATTCCTCGTTAATTTGCAGCTAAGGATTAGATTCTTGTGCATAGGGTAACCTGGTGGCAGAGCCACCATTCGGGGTTACAGGCGAGGTGTCATCATTGGTTTATTACTCAGAATAATTTTCTCATATGAACGATTGCCCCTCTCCTAGTTTCCATGAGACGTGCTCATCAGGTAGTGTATGGTCATCCCGACAAATGGATCTCTCTTGTAGAGATAAAAATGACATGTTCTATGCTGGGGTTGTGAAGGTATTTTCTAGATTTTGCATGAATCACCTGTTGTAAAAGTAAGTAACCATTCGTGATCAATGCAGGTATAGTGTTAAATTTATTTTTTAAAATTTATCAATTTAAATTTTATAAATTTTAAAGTCGTTAAAGATTTGTATCATTATTAAATTTAAGTTTCATGAAATTAATCGAAATACACGTAAACAACTCCAACACCTATATTAATCAAAATAATAATAATAATAATAATAATAATAATAACCATATATAATCTATATAGAGGTGATTATTTTCTATTTGATTTGATTTTTATAAAAAAAATAACTAAACAAAATTAAAAAAATAAAATTAAACCAAAACCGGTCCTAATTATTTTGGCTATGTTCTTTAGTTTTGTTTTGGTTTTTCTGGTTTGCGAACCAAAACCGGTTCTAATCATTTTGGCTATGTTTAGTTTTGTTTTGGTTTTTCTGGTTTGCTTCAATTTTTTTTTTGTTTTTGTTTGATTTTTTTAGTTTGAAGTTTATAAAATTAAAATCAAACTGAATCAGTTAATTTTTTTAAAATTTTAATAAGCTTAATTAACTTTTTTATAATTTAATTTTTATAATTATTTTTTATTTTCTTAATTTAACCAGTTTGATAATCTCGCCCACACCTGCTATAGAATCTAGTTAGAAATCACGTGATGGGTTGTTTGTATTTACCGCTTTACCGCTGCAAGCTCATGTAATTATAAATATGGTTATGTTTATCAATTTAAAAAGATTTTTCCCCCGTTGTTATTTGCTGCGGTTCTACAGGAAATAACGACGAAAGTTGTTTCAAGAACCAAACCCTCCACTGCGTCGACAAAAGACTCGTATAAGAGCCCAGTTCGTGAGGTTAATTTTGAAATAATATTGTTTCAACGTTTTTTTTTAAATGAAAATTATTGTTTTTATAAAAAAAAAAAAAAAAAATAAAATGAAAATTATTGTTTTTATATAAAAAAAAAAACATGCAGCCAGCCAGCCACGATGTTTCAAACAAAACCATTTTAGAGATATTTTTTTATTTTTAGATAATTATTTCGTATTTTAAGATTAAATATATTGAACTATATCTATTTTTTAATTTTTTAAGTTTTATTTTTATGTATTGTTAATAAATTTTTATTTATTTATTTGAATACACACTTCTGAATTTATTATATTTTTGATATTTTTTATTTAAAATTAATTTTTTTTTAAATTATAAAATTATATTTAAAAACCTATATATATATATATAATTTTTTAATAAAAAATAAAAATATCTAAATCGGCCCATCACAACATCATCAACAAACCAACCAAGAGCCTAATTACCAAAACACCCTTCGAGATCCAGATGGGAATCAAAATAATGGTGAAAATGTTAGGTGAGGAGTGAGGACAGAGGTGGAGGGAGGGAGGGGGGATGTATGGGCTCCTAGAAACAACCATACAATAATAGCGTTTTGAAACCAAACCATTTTGTAAGGTGACAAGAACACAAAGACCCAACAGCTTATCTTCTTTCTCCATACCACAATGGATCCCCATCTTCAAAACCTGGAAACCGCCACCGCAGAATCCACTTCAGAAGACCAAAACCACCAGCAGCAACTTGCCATTGTCTCTTCATCCCCTTTTGCCACTGCTTCTCTTTCTCTTTCTCTTCCCACAATCTTACCCACCCACTTTTTCACTCAACCCAAAATCTCTACTCTTTTCTCCTCTCCTCCAACCAAGGCTAAGATACCTACTCAAGCAACCTCTCTAACTCACCTCTCTCTCACTTCTTCCACTTCTTCTCCCAAACTCTCCTTCAAGTCTACCATCTCTGCCAACCCTCTCCATACCCCTCTCACTCTTGGGCCGCGCCGCCCCTCCGACCCCTCAAATGCTGCCGGAACTCGTCGAGCTTGCATCGTTTGGTTTCGCAACGACTTGCGTGTCCATGACAATGAGTGCCTCAACTCTGCCAACAATGACTCTATGTCTGTTTTGCCTGTTTATTGTTTTGACCCGAGAGACTATGGGAAATCTTCCTCTGGATTTGACAAGACTGGGCCTTATCGTGCCAATTTCTTGATTGAATCGGTCTCTGACCTCCGCAAGAACTTGCAGGCTAGAGGGTCTGATCTTGTGGTGAGAGTTGGGAAACCAGAGACTGTATTGGTTGAATTGGCTAAGGCTATTGGAGCTGATGCTGTGTATGCACATAGAGAGGTGTCTCATGATGAGGTTAAGGCGGAGGAGAAGATCGAAGAGCTCATGAAAGATGAGGGAGTTGAGGTTAAGTACTTTTGGGGAAGTACCTTGTATCATTTGGATGATTTGCCTTTCAAGTTGGAAGATATGCCATCGAATTATGGTGGGTTCAAGGAGAAAGTGCAGGGTTTGGAGATTAGGAAGACCACTGAGACTTTGGATCAATTAAAGGGTTTGCCTTCAAGAGGAGATGTGGAGCCTGGGGATATCCCAACTTTATTGGATTTGGGTCTCAACCCAGCTCAGGTTTAGTTAAAACTGTCCTTTTGCTATGCTTTTGTGTGCTTTGATTATGTTATATATGTTGTTATTGTTCACTTTTTTTTTTTTGTATGATCATTCAAATTTCTGTATTGAAAACTGTAGTTATGATGACTGGTTATTGGTAGGAAGGATGTGAATAGAAATCAGACTTTGACTAGATGGCTAGGATTTAACTTGAAATGAAAAGGTTTTATGTTTTAACAATATGATGTTCAATTATGACTGATGTGAGTGATGGA